AAATCAGTTGTAGCCAGAAGTATTAATAGCTTGGATTCTGACAGTTTCGTAGTGACCCTAAACCACATGTGAAAACACAAGCTATTAGTGTATTAACAGTGTTTGGCTGCCATAAAGTTACAAATGCCCGTATGGAGGGAGGTGTTGTTAGAATCAGGTGCATTTGGCTTCTTTTCACGTCTCGATAGCATTCTTACAGCACCTTGCAAAATTTAGAAATACAGAATGTGATGATGACAAAGTATATTCAGATTAATTCTACGCTCAAATTCATATGCTGGTGGTAAATTTTATTAGATTCGGGGGGGAAAAAAAAATAAATCAAATCTAAAGTGTGCTTCTAATCTCAAATCCAAATCCAAAAATCCAAATCTAAAGTGTGCTTCTCATCCCTTTGGGCAGTCTTCTGCTTCTGGTCTGAATGTTGAAGAAATATTCAGCATTGCCGTGGTCGCTATTATTTGATAAATTATCTCACTTCAAAACAGTTTTCCTCAAGCAGGAAAGAAAACTTTGATGTTCGCTTGAAAAAATAGCTGCTATCAAATTTGCAATACGATAGACCTATTCACCACTTTGGCACTAATGTATTGAACATTTAAGTAAACTCCAAATTACTGATAAATTTGAACAAGAAAACAATCTTATAGCTGTGTGCAAGTACTGGCAACAAGGCACAGAAATGAAGAGAAATAATTTGACAACCAAACCTTAATTTAGGAGCAATGTTTTATCATTTTGAACTTGTGGTATTTTCATTTGAATAAATAAGTGGCGACTCTATAGTAAAACCTAAAGGATGGGGAATCCAGTTGAGTATCCATCCTTGAGTCTTTGTGGATCATCTTGCAGATGTGAGGCCGAGAGCATAAAGCGGAGATTCGAGTCAGAGGGGTTTTTTCGTAACAGAAGTACTGCCACAGAAATAATTCCCGATCTGGAGTGTTACGTAAAGCAGCTATTAGATGTATTTATGGAGGGAAAATCCATCAAGGGCAGATCTCTGGAATCTGTGGGAGAGTACAGGAAAACATCGTTAAACGCTTGCTGTTTTCTTGCAGTTTATCTCTGTTTGTGATACTGGCTGCTATCAGGGGAAGGCTTATTGGGTGTGATGGACTTTATCCAAGCCAATACAGCTGTTCTTAACTGCTATTCATCTTATAGCTCTAAAGATGGAGCTTGTTTCGTAGTCTAGTTTTCTTCACTCCGACTAACTTGGCTAAAAAGACAGTTTGCGATGGGGTGACCTTTCACAGCGTTGTCAGACTGCTGGTAGGCAGTACTGGAATTTTTAAGGCCACTTCCTTTGAAAGCTTAAGTTAGTTGTGTTTGCTTCAGATTTCTGTCTCGGAGGACTGGTTTTGCTTAGAAAGTGAGTCGAATCAGGCCTGTGGGAAGAATTTCAGTTGAGGAAGACGTTCGCTGTAGTAGCGCTATTCTCATTTTACACAAAATAGAGAAAGGCTACGGTGGGTAAAGTCAGCAGTTTTATCCTACACCAGCTGGGGAAATTCCAAGCACAGGGCAAACAGGTAATTTCACCCTCTTACCTACAGTAGTTCTGTCACTCCGGGACTTCCTACTGTCTCTTCTACGATCACTCTTGGTGGCTTTTCCTTCCATAAGGCTGTTGGTACACGCAGCATTCCGGGACTGGTCCTTCCACAGCTTCAGCACGTGTTGTGCCAGACACGGGGTTTATTTTGTTTCTTTTTAGAGCTGGTTCTTTTTTGGGAAGAGAGGGGAATAATTGTTTCTGTGTGCTCTCTTCATGCCATTTGTGATTTTTTAGATCCTTATCACGATTTCATTATTTTAGCCTTCACTTTCTAGCCTGAAGGGTGTTAGTCTGCTTAGTCTTCATGTGAACTCTTTATGTTATTTTTGGTGCTTTTGTAAATGTATTCCCATTTCAGCACTCCCATAGACCTCATACCCAGGCACGTTTTGCACTGGTGTCTACAAAAAATTTATATTGCAGAATCACAGAATCAACTAGGTTGGAAAGGACCTTGAAGATCATCTAGTCCAACCATTAGAATATAGAATAATACATATAAAACCAAAACATCCACATTCCCTTGGCTACACCAATGGAAAGCACTTTTGTATTGATTTACTGATTTCATGTTTCCTTTTGCAGGCACTGACACCCTTCAATCAGCAATCCAGCCAGAAATGCAGATAGAACACGGAGCAATCCAAATTCAATAAAAGAATTGCAAGAAGCTGGATCAACTGGATGTCAGTGAGCCACAGTCAGAAGTTAAGTGCTGTAGTCTTCGTGCAACAACAGGAGAATGGAAATGCCTGTTAGACTAATGGTCACACCTCAAACATATCCTGCACACAGCAGAGTTCTGATGATCTGCTGCTCCTCACCTGGAATAAATCAGACCCACTTACTTAAAACGTCACAACATCAGTTGAGGATCTGGCCTCAGAAAAAATAAATGGCCTGTCCTTAGGTACACGTAAAGAGGGGGAAAAAAAAAAATCAGAAAGAGGGAACGTAATCTAATGAATCAAAACCATGAGACTAAATTAATGTTTCATCCTGTTCATTTCTTCTGTGAAATACTCCATTTGAATGTCTGCAGATACCTTAGGAGGTGTATTGCTGCTTTGCAATACTTGCTTACCACGTATAGAAGATCAAGAGCTCAAATATTTTTCACTGTTTAAACAGCTTTTTTTATTTGCTATGGTGTTTATAACAAAAATGGAAAATATTTAAAAGGAATATCCCATAACTGCAAGTATTAGCCTTTTGCTGGTGTTTTCTGTTCAGTGTCATGAAAACTGTATTTGCAGAAGACTAACAATTTTGTTTGTACTGTTGCTTAACTACTTTTCTAGGGGAAAATGCTTTTAAATGCTGTAATTATGCATTTCTAATGAAAAATAAATGTGTATTTATGAATAGTGCAGCTCTAGTTGCTCTCTGCTTTAGGAATGAACGTGGTTTGACTGGACTGTGCTGTAAGAGTGTAGTTCTGGCGTATCTGAAGACAGATGCTATCTGGCAAGCTCTGCTGTCACACTGAGAAGTAAGATTAAGTCTATAAGGAAGATATTAATCTTAGATCATGTTATTATCTAAATTTCCAGTGCAAGAAAAATGTGATAGTTAAGCTTCTGAGTCTGCAAATCCTACTTTATACAATGAATTTATGAAATAATTTTTTCTAAAATGTGAACAGTTCTTCTGAGCTCTTTCCCTTATTAGTTCTTCTGCCTCCTTTGTCTAGCCATTCGTGGCAATACCTCGCTTTGGGACTCATCCATAAAAAGCTGGGCTGCAAAAGTGCAATTCCTGTCTTGATACCCAACCTGAACAGCAAGGTGAAATCCTCTCTCCACTGAAATTTATGGGAAATTTGGTGCTGATTTCAAGAAAGCTATGGCTTCATATTTACTAAGCTTGAGTGGAATGATACATGTTTGCTATCACCCGATTACCTTAATGGTGCACTTTTTAGGGAAATACAGTTTACTGGGGGAGGTGTTGCTTTGTATTTGTTTTTCATCTGGCTTGCTATGGTTGTTGTCGATATATGGCTCATAATGCATTTAATGTATTAATGAACGAGGCACAGCCACAACTTCTACATGGTTGAATTCAGAATAACTTTTTTCTGTTTTATGAAAGGAAGGGTTAAGCACACCCAATTTCTGGGAATTTTGTCCCTGGTAAGTATTACACTTTATGTAAATTCCTACTTCTCTTTAGGATATTTCTTGACGCACAAGTACAATGCAAACTGAACCACAGCTTATTGAACACAATGTTTGCAACAGGCCAAGAATTTGGCTACTCTTCAGTTTCCTTTTAAGAGTGTTTCTCAGACTGGGTGATGTTTGAAGAGCTTGGCATCCAAATAGAAGCCTAAAAATATAGCAAGGCCTGTACATTTTAGCATGGCTGTTAATAATAATTTATCACTTGGAAATGACAGTGAGAAAGCTGGGATGGCAAAGCTGCTGCGTGCTACCACATACCACTCTCTTGTTCTATTCATGTTGGCCACGGCAGCTCTCTTGTCATCTTCAGAAAGTTTCCTTCTGTGTACTGGGCATCTTCTGCTTTTGAGGGGAACACACGTGCATTTAAACTGTAGGTATCTTGTCTTGGTTCATGGTGCAATTAAGAATTCTGTTCTCTTTGCATTTTTCAGCTCAGGTACAAGATGAAATTGAGTTCAGGAGAGGTTTCCTTTAGCCACGAGACTGCTGCATGCTCAAGTCTCTTCTGCTAAAAGTGCTTGTAAAGGTGTATCAAGCAGTGAAGTAGCGTTCGCTAGACTTTGAGTGAAATCCACTTCACCAGTGTGGAATGGAGAGTGTGCAAATCAATTGAAATAGGTAAGGAGAGCAGCTTAGTAAGATCCGCCACTGCAATCACATGTTAAGGCGTCATGTTCCTCAAGATGGAATTTTTCTCAGTGTTGTGTCAATGTTTACATTAGTCTAAGCTCTGTCACATTATGTTTATGCTTCAAAAAGAGACTTCAACATTGAACCAGGTATCCTATGAGTAATCCCTGTCCCTGTTCCCTTTCTGTAGATTTTATGTCCTTGGAAGATTTATGTCCCTGTCCAGGGAGGAAGTGTCTTCTCTTCAAGGATGTTTTATGTATTTTCTGGACATCGCAGGGTGTGTCACGTACAAATAATTCCTTAGAAGAGTAATTAAGGAGTGAATTTCCATCTAGGAAATGTTTCTGACTGTGAAGAGTCTGTGAGGTTCTGTGTGAAGAGTATGTCCATGCAGAGGATATTGTAACAATAACACATCAACGTAACAGTAAGAAATCCTAAAAGTATTATAACTCAAGGAATGAAAGTCTTGCAGGGGTACTGAGGGTTGTGCCTGGCTCTGTTCAGGTAGGTTGGTGTTTCACCGTGGATGTGGTTCTGCCCTTGAAGACTCTTTGTGTTCTGTAGGTCAGCTAGAAGTCAGTTCTCATGATGTCTCCTTCTGTTATTCCCAGCCTCTGCCTTTTTAAGAATAAGGTTCTTTTCCCTCAGCAAACCTTCTAACATCCTCATTTTTAACTCTTTTTTCTCCTCATGCTGCTTTTGTCCAAGAGGCAGAGACTGAGAACGTGTGACCAAGAATCTTCAGAGGGACGTTTCTTGTAAGGTTAGACTAGGATCAGCTGCATATTTTATTTGTAATTCATCTCGTGACCTGCAGAATACTGTTTTCATGGATTTGATTTCATTTGTGTAATAATGTTTAGGCATGCAGGCTTTGGGAGAGGAGAGCCTCTGGTTACCTGCTTGTCCCATTGGTTGTTTTTGATATGAAGTTCACTGTAGCCAGGTCCTCCTCGTTTATCTCAATACACTAAAATTCGTGACGTTCTGGCTGCACAAGCAGTACAGTACCATTATCAGTGACCTTTCAGATCATTTAATCTTGAATCCCACCTGAAAGAGCATCCATCTCAGGAGTTCTTAAGGATTTTGTGGTTCTGATGTAAAAAAACCTAATCAAAACGTTACGGTTTGATGGATTGTACAACTAGAAATTGGTCTAAAAAAAAAAGTGAAGGATGTGGGTTACTTAATTTCTGGTTTTCTTTCTTTCATTCCTTGTTAGTTTTACGTATTTTGTCTTGCAAAACAAAACTATAAAAACGAACGCCCTTCTATGACTCAAAACTGGAATGCCTTCACTGGCTGCATTTTTCGGCATCTCAGTATTGACCATTTGCCTGTAAAGCAAGGAACGCTGGCCAAAACGGTGCTCTAGTGCTTGTCTGCGTCATGGAGATCCTGGCGTGCGTACAGGTGTGCTCTGGTGGCCCTGTACTTTATTATCCGCTTCACAGAACTGCTGTGGAGTTTCATGTTGGAAAATACAGTAAGGAAACCAATATCTTTAAAAAAAAAAACCAACCAAACCAAAACAACCAAAATCACTCTAGTGTCTCACTCTGCACAAACTTCTGTTGGCAATCAGTATTCCTTCTGAATTCCTAATTACCTAAGTACTGAAAATTTAGAGCTGTAACTATATTCAAGAAAAACTGTTTCCCATTATCAGAAATAAGAATGTTCCTTTCATTCGCTGCAATCCCAGAGCACTTCTATAAGCTCTGCTGATTTAGATGAGTACTCGGCAGTCAAACCTCATTTCCTTGAATGAAGCTGGGAATAAGAAAGTCATTCAGTTAGAGTGATGTTTGGGATAAACTGAGATTGCTTTTTTTACTGTGCTGGTACAAACAGACATACTCGATTTCTTTGCTAAACAAGGTCTGACATATTTAGAGGTAGGTTTCATACTTCACAAAACCAGAAGTAACTAACCAGGCAGCAAGTGGAGGCAGGAGGAGTCGTGCAGAGCTGAAGGTAGAGCTGAGGTACGTGGGACACAACTGCCCACGTGCAGTTTGGCCAGGGCAAGCAGATAACACTCCTCCTCTTTCAAGAGGTGCCAGGGGATTTTATTTTTAATCAAGTCATGAGCGTGATAAATTGGATGGAACTGGACGAAAACCTATTTTTCCTCGTCTATAACTTCACATGCAAAGTTTAATTCAAGAGTAAATGTCTCCCTTGTTTGCCTTTTTTATACTTACATGAGTTCTACTTTTGAAAGGTTTCTCAGGTTTGTTTCCTATTCAATCTTTCCTTTGCAAAGGAAAAATTGTCTTTTAATGATATTTAAGAAAATTTTATATTTTGGGCAGTAAATTATATTTTAAGATTTTCATTAATCATTATGGGTATTTTTAATCAACCAGGAGGCTGCAAAAAATTCTGTACTTCTTCCAGTCCCTCAGGTTAACCTGTGGTTTTGAATGTCTAGTAAACTATTGAGTTTCATTTCTGTCCATCAGCTTGGGTTGAGCATAAAATTATATGTTACCTAATCTTCCAGTAAATATTTTATTGCAGATTTTTCATACTAGTTAAAGGAAGGTTAATCTGGTTGTGAGACAGATCACTCAAAGCCTGGATGGAAAGCTGAGTTTAGCCTGAGTCTCTCCCTGCTACGCTGTGATGCACCTGTAAGGATGGATTGTTCATTGTCTGTGCCACAGTCTGGACATTTATGGTATTTAATTTGAAAATAATAATAATATCCCTGTTTTCCAGACTTATTCCCTGCTTTCCTTAAGGAATCTTTGGGATTTTTGTTTTCAGGATGCACTGGGGTTTGCTTGCCAGGCTGTTGAGAGCATCATATCAGGATCTGAGAATTGAGCAAGTACACTGAAATCAAAGGGACTTCACTCTTTTGTTATTATCACAGGGAAAACGAATCTCCTGTATGTATATTTAAAATAATTCAATTTTTAATTGATGAACTATATATTCAATTTACCATTGGCTTTCTGAGTAGAGCAAAAAAAGTTTGGGAGCTGGCCAGCACCATTTGACTAGCTGAAAGGTGGACTGCCTGCTTGGGGGGTGTGTGTGCTTATGTATTTATATGTGGCTGTCTTCTTCCTTGAGTTTGCATGAGGTTGTCTCACTTCCTCCTACTTTGGTCCTAGAAGTCACCTTTCCCCTCTTCTTCCTTCCTTTTGATACATTTTTTTTTTTTTTACTCTCCCATTTCTGTAGCATTTATTTTTAATCTCATGATAAACCCAGATCCATTTTAGTGCTTTGATCTTACCAGAGGGGCTTGGCTGGGCACCTCTAATTTAAAAAAAAATATAAATCAGAAACCCTTGGACTGCTGGATTCGGAATTGCATTTAACAGAAGCCAAACAAAACCAAAAAAAAAAAAAAAAAGAGAAGACATTACCTTGTGCACAGGGAAGAAGCTCTGATACTCGGTTTATTTAAGAGCTACAAAAATTGCCACAGTTGGAAATTAAGTGTCTGCCATTAATTAGTAACACTTTCAGTTTAGTAACCAGATTTTCCCCTGCTGTTCCCACCAGGTAGCAAATTAAACCTCCTTTTGCAAGCACCCAGGTGGAATGCACAAGTAGCTGGTGTACTGTGAGCTGCACTGAGAATTCTGCTGACTTCCAGTCCGGGTTAAATAGCCCCTAAACTTGTCATTTGATGCCTTTCCTCCCCAGAATGCCTGTTCCCTTCTCCCCGGTGTCGTAACCCTCCTAGAGCAGCCCTTCTCTGTAATCACTGCTTGGTATGATTTAATCAGACACAAGTGACATGCTCTTTGTAAAGCAGAGTGGGGCTGCGTTCTGCTTCCCATCCCGGCGTGTGTGAAGTGCCGTGCTCTCTCGTTGGGGCCATCTGCCTTGCATAATTGCTCTTATTTAACAGCAATTTTATTGCTCAATCCTACTTCAACTCTCTTAATCCCCCTGCTCTAATGGGCTCCCCGCTCTCTTCAGCAAAACCAGAGGAAAAATAAAAAAGGCAAAATGTTCATAAAAGAGGAGGAGGGAGGAATCAAGGAAAAGCTGAGAAACAATTTGTTGATTTGTTTTGAATCCCTTCCTCCCTTTTCATTCAGGTTACCATTCTGCACTTAAATGTGCAGCCCAGGGAGGTGGTTCACAGTGAGAAGTTCTTCATTTTTTTGAAATACAATAGTGACGAAAATATCCTACTTTTATCCAAGGAACAGCAGCTTTGGAGGTAGGCAGGGGCAAGGTGGAGGGTAGAGATTTGGGGTTTTACTTCATTTTGTTTTTTTTCATTTTATTATTATTGTTTATACCTTACTATGTTTTTAAATAGTTTGTAAGCGTCTTGGAAGGCTTACATCTGGTTTGGGTTCTGCCTGAAATTCCTTTTAGTTTTGTTAAATTGACCATTTTAATGGAACTAGGAGGTTCTCTGGCATGTTCTCAGAATTTTAAAAATATAGTGTATCTCCACACTTTCCACCTCTGACATTTTCATGGAAATTTTCTTATGTGGCAAAAGGCTGATTGCACCTTAGTGTTAGCGAAAATACTTTTCCCCTTTTGTTTTACTTTTTGTAAAAGGTGGAAGGTATTCATCTTTTCTGCCAGAAAATCAATTTTTGTAGGAACGTTCCCATAAGAAACTTTGACCTCTGTGAATGTCTTTGCACGGGTTGACATAGTTTTCCACGCCGATTCCTTTCTTTATGCAAATGCAACACACTTAGGACTGTTAAAACTTCAGAGACAGTAAATGGCTGAACATTTTGAGGAAGGTTGTTTGTGAATTTGCTGTTGTTTTTTCCCTGTGTCATTTCACTGATGGGATTCATGGTACCGAGCTCTCTGTGCCGTACAGAAATGAGCCTGACAGAAGCCTGTGCTTGGACTTGAGCTCCCCTGTGGCTTTTGGCTCCGAGTCCCTCTAAATCTTTGCAGCTTTAATCAGTGTGTAGATTTGGGCAAATAGTGGGTAAGATTTAAAAGCCCTCGATTGCTCTTGGGAAGAAAACACTGGCTAGTGAAGAGCTCTTCAGTTTGGGCAGGGAGGGAATTGCAAGAACCATAAGCCAGTCAAATTCAGGTGGGAAACAAAGCAGAGTGTTTGACAATGTGTGTGAAGGAAGATTAATAACTGAGCAAACTGTCGAGAGAGGTGGATTCCTTGTCTTTAGGTACCTTCTGCTCTTGACTGGCTGCCACTGGCAGGACTATCACCAAATGCAGCCCCACAGTTTGTGATGGTAACGGGAATGTGCCTTGATCTACGGCGGCCTGGCACGCTGTGATAAGGGTGCAGGGATTGTCTTGGGGGATGCCCGTGGTTCCCACGGTCTGCAGCAGCACCAGTCTCACAACAGTACAAGCCCCCAGTCATTAAATCTGTTCCCTGGACTCTTTCAGAGGATTTTGCCTCTCCTTTCCCTGCACAGCACATGCCGTAAAGCACAACCCAATGAAGTATTAAATATCCTAAATTCAAAAGCCATAAAGCTAAAATGTCTAAGTATAAAAGATTAAGGGTTTTGCTCGTGTCCTGGTGTCCTGTGGTGGCAGTGTCCCGTGACATCAGAAATTCTTTTTGAGCCTTTCAGGTAAGCAGCAGGACGCTGAGCCTTGAGATTCTTGTGGTACTGATGGGGCCCCACAAACAGTCAGCAAATGGTGAGCAGGTTCTCCTTCAGTCTTTGCGCAGTGCCAAGGAACTGAGCAGGCCAAACCCTCGTGACAGCAGCAGAGCTTGTTGGTTTTGTTGTCGTGCCGTCTGTAATTCAAGACAGTATCAGTTTCTACCTTGAAACCAGTTTTTTTTCAGGACCATCACTGGCCTGCTTGAAAGCTCATTCTTCTCTGATGAGAAAGTTCTCTTTTTCTGTGTTTATTTGCAATGTTCTGGTGTAGGTCTTGAGTGCTTGTTTCTGTAGTTTATGGGTCTTTTCCAGTCCCATTCTGTATGGTCTCAACTTTAATCAACTGAAAATCTCAAAAAGAGTTTCTGTTTTATGTCTCGAGCACTTTTCCTACTTCCAGATTGCAGCTCTGTGAAAGTGAGATTGCTTTAGCACCCGGAAACACTGACCCCATCACTAGTTTGTTACCCTTGTTCTGGCTTTACTAAAAAGGCTTCAGCTCCCAGTAGAAAAAAATTCCCGAATAAAGTTCGTCAACATGTTGAAAGAAGCCCAAGAGCAACCTCATGTCAAACTGACAAAACAACAGAAGAGAAACAGCAGCTCAGTGGTGTGTGTAGTGTGATTCCTGCCTGCACACCTGCACTACCCTGGGTAGCCCCAGCAGGTACAAGTGAGATTCCCTGGTGAAACAGGTTGGCCCAGGAGTGTCTTCTGCCACTAAAGGGTATTCCTCCACTTTAGGTGTTGGCAATGCCATTAGCACGTGGCTGAAAGCAGATACCCAGGTGGAAATACCAAATGTACAGAGCAGTTGTCTACCACTTGCTTAGATGTTGGGAGGAAGGGTGAGAAGGAGGCTTCATGTTGCATAAGTTAATATTTATTCTATCTGTGGTAATTGGTCGTCTTTATCTTAATAGTGGCATACCAGAGTTTTTATGTGTCAGAGACAAAGCAGGTATCTTCCCAGTTCCTGCTGGGGAAATTCTGGAGTGGTTCGTACCCCAGAGATGGCAACAGCTCCCCCCTCCCCAGTGCAGCCCAAAGTGACCATAGGTTGAAGTCACCAACAGCCCACATCTCATCCTAGGCAGGGTGTACAGCTCTTTAGTTTCCATTCTCTGTGTCCTTTACTTCGTCCAGAGAAATAACACGGTGGCAGGAGAGTCTGGGATGCATCGGAGATGCTGGTTCTGATGAGTACATGGAAGCTGTAGCCTGCAAGTTATTACTAGAATGGCCACACTCATCTGTGCCTGCCAGGTTTGCTCGAAACCTCTGGAGCAGTCTGAGCTGAGCTCTGCTTTTTCTAGTCTTTCTGTTGGGCTGCACAGATCTGAGCACGTCGATGGAGAACGGGCAGTGGCAAGCGTGCCTGGCAGTGAAGGACGTAGGAAGCCTTTGGCTCCGAGCTCAGGTAGCAGTGGCAGCTGTTTCATCCCGCACAACTGTCCGCGGAGGGAGGAACGTGCCTTCTCGGGTGCTTTGCAGCTCCCTGTAAAGCTTGAGTTGGGCTGAAAGTGCATTTTACTGGGTTGTGACCAGTGAACAGAAAAGTGGTAGGTTCTTGGGCACAGATGTTTGTTTGTAGCCAACAGCAAAAGTCTTACTGTTGAACAATGCTTCTGTCCGTAGGTGGTCTGGGAACTGAGGGAGGAGGGGTGGGTTGATAAAGATCATAAGAAAAAGAATTCAGGACAGAAACAATTTAAAAAAAAAAAAAAAAGAAAAAAAGACTTGAAATCCCTAGTCCTTTGAGACCAGTTGGTTTCTAAGGGTCCATAGTTAAAAATATCATAATTAAAAAGATCTTTCTTATTGTATGAAGTTACTAAGGAGGGAGCATCTAAGAATATACTTTTTTTTTTTTTTTCCCTTTTAAAATTCTGCCTTCCCACTTCCTGCTTCTCCACAGTCTTTTGTACCTAAGAGGGTTTTGTGGGTGTTTACTAGACACTTCCAGCAGAAGGAGGGTTAAGTACATGAGAAGGGGGTGGAGAGGGAATCCCAGCTTGGAACTTGAGACTTTCCAGCTGAGAAAGAAAGATTCGGAGATGCAGACGTAATCATACAGCACTGCAATCAACTCCTGTGTCAAAAGAAGTCAGGAAAAGCACATAAATAACTCCACAGCCACACTTAATGTAGTGCAGGACATATATCAGTAGTGCCACCACTTCCTCCAGGGTGAGTATAGAAAAACTTCCTGTCTAAACGCTTGCAAAATGGTTTAAATACTTTGAAATGGCTTGGTAGTAAACTTCAGAAGTTGAGGTAGCTTTGAGCTCAGATTATTTGGTACCAGATCAAATTTTATCTTGTTGCAAGTTTCAGGTTTCCTTGCAAATAGTCTCAAGAAATAAACTGTGGTTGTCTGAAGCATAATCTGTATTGTTTCCTGCTGTAAATTCAAAAGTCCAGAGGGGCTGCCAAGGACTGAAGAGCACACTCATGTAGTGGGAATGCAAATTTGTCTGTGTTCTTCAATACACAAATTTGAGCAGTTCTGTTTTAATGGCTTAACTCCTTCCAGCTAATTGCTTGAGTTGCTCTAGTTCTCTGCCTGCTTCAGTGTGACCTTTTCAGGTAATCCTTGTCTTTGGGATGGGCTTTCCTGAAGCTGTCACTCTGGAGCAGCTTTGAAGCGTCCTCAGTAAATTTGGTGTAGCTCAACATTTTATTTGCTGCCTGTGTAACGTACAACAGCTTCTGGAAGGACCGTGGGGTGTTTGTGGTCAGTCTGCTGGTCTCAAGGATCCAAAGGCTTTTGATTGAGACAGACAGAATGAAGGATGGAAGAGGAAAGAGATGCTGCTGCCTTGCTTCTCGACGGGGTGCTTTCTCCCCTGCTAGGTGGATGGTGATGTGATGTTACAGATGGTGTGTGATTTATTGCGTTATTAATGTTGTTATTACCAGTCTTTATGGAATGGTTCTCGGTTAACGTGCCTGAGTTCATAAAGCGTTTCATGCTGGGCTTTGTGTGTGTGTGTATGTGTTTGTAAAGTGCCTGTTTTCCATTACAAAACTGGGAGATAAACGAAGACGACGGTCACATTTTCCTAACGTAAATTTCTTCCTTTTTCAGTCCTCCTTGGAAACCATAAATTTCAGCAGTGTGTCTGTGTGCTCCAGACATCAAAAAGCCACAGTCAGGCAGGCGGATTTACAAGCCTTCTGTTTTCCTTGGTCAAGTCCTTTGCAGAAGTAAAGATAGACATCCAAATGATAACAGAAAGCTGGGAAGGGAAGCAGAGTTGAAGGAGGAAGCTGTGCAATGTGGGAGGGGAAGGGAAGTCTCCCGGGAGGACTTGTCTCAGCTGATACAGTTCAGGTGGTGGACAGAGATTTTCCTTCTCTTTCTGGCCAATAAACATCTTCTTGTTTTCCTGTTCCTGTACTAAGTGTTTTCAGCCATAAGTATTCAACCTTTTCTTCCTCACAGCTAAGACTCTTGTCCAAATTGTTATCTCATGTCTCAATTAACGCAACATCCTTTTCTCTTGGCCTTGATGAGCACTGACTTTTGCCCAAATCAGATCCATTCAGAAA